AAGGAGGAGTTGAATTCAGGAACGCCAAACACAAATCTATCGACTAGCAGGGAGAAGGATTTGAACCCTAACCACAAGGCCACGCCGCCTCCACTTAATATGTTGTGTGACTTTCGCGCCATTCTTGGTTTCTGCATTAAAGTACATCTTAAGATCCAACACAATTTTAATCAACCAAAAGGAGCCGGATGTCACTTGATATTCCAGAAAGAAGAAAACTTAAACTTCTACACCTTTCTCTTCTGAACATCAAGTGGATCCAATGCCTTGCGTGTACTATCTATGAATGCACTCGCAATAGAAAGCCAAGCAACACACGTGTACGATTAAAAGGAGCAGCTCCCAGCTGCAGCTGTGACTTTTTAAAAGCCTTCAATACTACCTAAAGGAACTGTCGTTGCATATCTTTATCGCACGACTAAGTCAGTTCAGAGTGTCAACGATTAATAAATCAACCAATCAGATTGTTCCATTTCCGGTCCAATATACCCTAAGTTACTGTCCCAAATGGACCCGCGCGATCACTATTGAAGATTTTTTGGTAGTTTTAGAGAAAGGAAACTGAATCATAAGACATAAGCTTTTTGTCAGCATCTTGCATTGAATAAAGTTGTGTAACATTATCTAAATTGGCGTTAGAAAGTCACAACGCAGGCAAACCATAAGAAGTACGAATAATTTGTTGCGAAAAAAAAAATTTTTTTCAGTTGACCTATGTATCAAAGTAAATACTCCAACAGAAACATGATGTTTATCAGCAAAGTTGGTCACACGCAAATGTCCTCCCATCTTTATAGCTATACTGCAAGGTAGACTGACCAACAGTACAATCAAATGAAGAACACAAAACGAGCTCAGGATACTGAGACTACAAAAAACAGAATTATTAATAACATCGATTGGCTTTCATTGATAAGTTTTTACAGTCGGCCAGTAATTCACTAAGGCATACAGCCATACTGCGAGGTAGACAACAGCAGTACAATCAAATTAACAAGACCAATCAACCCATGCTGCCGGCCAGACTATTTGTGTGGCCAACCAGTATGAGGAGAAGTCGAAAGACGTGGTTATTCATGCTGATGCGAAGAAGGGTGATCAGCAATCCGTACCGTTCTTTAGATCAAGAGCGAAGTCCATTCTCAAATATAAACGTGCTAGTCGTGGCGACAGAGAACCTTCCAGAATTCCTTACAAGAAAATGTTGAGCTTGTTTAAAGAATGTATTGTGCATTACTTAAGAAAAAAAAAAAACGTACCGTGCACTTGTTGAAAATGTCTTGCTTTACCTTCGAAGAACACCATTTCTCACTACCTCAGATTCTCGCTTCACATAAAAGAAAACGCAGCGAGAAGACCCTTGCAGAACAAAATATACTCTGTCAAAGATATGTACAGCTACACACGAGTAATGCCGGCGACCTGAAAGCCAGCTGTCACGACAGCTTTCACAACTTTCTAACCTGTGTTATGATTCGTTCAAAATACTATCCGCCTGGCGATTGGCTAGTTATTCAGCTTCCGGTTGCGAGTGACTAAGTAATCATTTGCATATGACTTTCTAACCTGTGTTGTGATTCGCTCGAAATACTATCCGCTTTTCCGCCTGGCGATTGGCTAATTAATCGAGCTTCCGGTTACGCGTTAGTGAGTGACTCATTTGCGTACAAATCCCCACTACACTCGTGGATGCTATGCATATCAACGAGTAATAGCAACGCTGAAATATGTATATGGAACAATGGGCGATAAAAGTGTGTATGTATGTACATAAATAAAGAATTTTCAGTGAGCTGCCTGCGCCAACGACGACGTGAAGCATTCAGAAGGATCCTGAAAAGATTCTAAGTTCAAGCCACGGCAAGTGCAGACAAAAACAAGAGTTAAAAGAGGCCAATGGACGGATAACTTCTGAGGCTATGTGTAAAAATTGCACATTTATTAAAAACGTTCCATCTTCAGACCTTCATCAGCTTACAGCAGTGGAACGAATGAATGCACTAATTATAGGCCAATCTCTGTCCTTCCCTGCTTTGGTAAAGTACTAGAAAAGATCCTGTACAAAAGAATAATTAAATACCTTGATGAGAATAAAATATTCCGAAGTCAGTATTGTTTTCGCAAGAAACACTCAACAAATTTAGCAACTATTCTACTAGTTACTAAGATATTGCAAACAATGGAAAATGGTGAATACGCTATTGGAGTGTTCTTAGATCTTCCGAAGGCGTTTGAAACTATTAATCACAAAATACTACTGAAAAAAACTTGAGCGCTATGGAATTAGGGGTGTCGTCTCAAAATGGTTCAAAAATTATTTGACAAATAGTAAACAGAGAGTAAAATATAAATATATGGAATCAGAACAATTAACAATCAAATGTGGAGTGCCACCGGTATCTGTTCTAGGGCCTCTTCTCTTTCTTATTTAAATGAACGATACTTCTTAGTGCTCTGAAGTTTTGTCAGTCATTCTCTAATTGGTTCCTCAGTCACAAAAGTATAGATAAAATACAAAGAATTATGAATCAGGAGCTCCAGAAAGTTGCGTCTTGGCTTTCTGCTAATAAGCTTTCCTAAATATCAAGAAAACATATTTCCTAATTTTT